AACTAAAAAACCTTGGAGTTATCTTTGATTTGAATCTTAGTTTTGAAACACATATTAGAAGTATAACCAAAACTGGATTTCATTATGTTTAGAACATTGCCAGTAGGGATTAAATCAACTGTTTGTCTCCCAAGCCGACACACAGAGACACTAATGCATGCTTTTATCACCTACAGAATTAATTACTGTGATGCACTACTTTCTGGTCTTCCTAAGAAGAGGCATCATTTCATAACTATGGTCCATGTCTGTGGAACAGCCTGTCTGAAGACCTGAGGGCCGCAGAGTGTTGATGTTCTTAAAAGCAAACTCAAGACCTATTTTAGCCTGGCTTTTAATTGAACTTTTTTTTTTTTTAAGATTTTTTTTTTCGGGCTTTTTTTGCCTTTAATGTATAGGACAGAGTGAAGTGGGGTGAGAGAGAGAGCGGGGGGTGACATGCAGAAAATGGTTGCAAGCCGGACTCGAATCTGCGACCACTGCATCGAGGCATCGCCTCTGTACATGGGGCGCCGGCACTATCCACCACTCTACCGACGCCCCTTAATTAAACTTTTATTTCTTTTTTTATTTTGTATCTATTATTGTTGTGTATTTATCTATTGTTTACTTATTTATTTCCTTATTTGCTGACTGACTTTGTGTTGCAGTCTGTTTGTATAAAAAGTGCTATATAAATAAAGTTTGATTAATTGATTAAGTATGAAACTGTGTGGTGACTGTGCCACTCACCAATAAGCAGCCCTACAAAGACCCCGATGACGAGGAAGAAGAGGAGGAAGGCTATCAGGGTGCTTCTGCAGCAGGCAGAGTTGGAGGGAGCAGAGGAGGCTCCTGGAGAAGACCACGGCTCTCCTCCTCCTCCATCCTTCTTCACCCCCATGTTGGATTCACAGTACCAACCTCACAACTCACATTCCACTGAGTCCAGTATCATAATGCCTCACAGACAAAATGATCCAGCCCTGGCAAAAAAAATAGTGACAAATATTTGAGGATACACTCAGGATGGATATATCCTGCTATCAATAAAACATATACAATAAGAAATGTGATTTTTGTCCCTCTAGTTTGCATTTCAACAGACAAAACTCTGCACATGTACAAAACAAACAAATGAATGAATAAATAAATAAAGTTTGTTCATGTCCTCGGATTGCGATTAATAGACTACTTACTGTTATTTACAGTCGTTAGTACAAGCCATGTTCTACAATGGTGTTACAAAAATCAAGGAATAAGGTCCCAGAATGAAATTACTATGTCCATGGAGATGTAGCTGTAACGTACCGACTGTAAACTAAAGACTACACAGACACATCAGCAGTGGGTCTGGTCGGGAGAGCCGATGGAGACTGAACAGGACGCCCACCAGAGACCAGGGAGGCCATGTTGCCCAGGGATCACACATCAGATGTGGAAAAAGGTTAAACCAAAAACAAGCCAACCTCCCCAAAGTTTTCAAAAAGACAGGATTTCAATGAATAAACCGACTCAATACGAATATTCACAGCACCAGCACATTACGCACGGTGTCTCCAGGCGCATCACAGCGCGCAGAGCATCAAACAATAAAGGCTTTATATTCTGAGGTAAACTCACTCACCTCTTTCTTCTGAACATTCACCAAATCCCGCAGCTCTCAGCGCATGACCTGGCTCACACAAGAATAGATACATGGATGAAGGAAGACACGGCAGAGAGGTCCGCTATTTGTTCCACCTGCCAAGGGGCGTGCCGTGTCCGTCCCGCAGGTAGCTCACCTTTTCAGTTTACTTTAGGAGGTCGGCTCGGCTTCAGAAATCTCCGGCCGACCCTCCTCCCATCGGGCCTGATCCCTTCAGTTACACCCCGGTGTGCACAGGCATTTACTGTCACCTCAGAGCTCCCATAATCTCCAGGTAAATAATAAATGGTTACTCCTTTACGCACAGGTCGGAGGAATGTAATGTAAAAGAGGTGCATTAATAAACTGCTCAGTGGAGCTCAGTGCTGCCTCTAGTTGCTGCCTGCTTGTGCTCCATTGACACAGTGACTGAGCAGCAGAGGAGGAGCGAAGCCTCCTGGAATCCTGGCTGCATGTCCCGGCCTCACAACACCTGGCAAACCATTAGGCTTCTTTTACCCGGATTACAGTTCCTCCAAACTGTTAAAGGTGTCTTTACTGCGAGTTTATAAGTGTGTGCTGATTCAGCATTTACACTGTTGTTATCCAAATCTTTATTATTCTGACTTCTTATTGGGTGTAAATGCTACAAAGTATTTCACAACCTGTTTTTCTGGGGGCAAAAATTGTTCGGCTAGGTTTTCTGGCATCTAACTCCTTCCACATTCTTAAACATAGAAACTTCACTCAAAATCAAATGCTCAGCTCAATTAGGACATGATTACTTTTATCATTCCTAAATATTCATTTTTTGGGAATTTTCCCCCATTCAAATGAACAGGTGTACTGTTCAAATTTGACACAAAATCATGCTTTTACACTCATTTTTGAATCTTTTCTCCTTCCTGTAGAAACTCATTCGAACATCTTTCATACATTCTTGGTATTATTCAACTTTCAAATCCCATTCAAACTTTTTGGATATTTAAACTTGTTTGCAGCATAGTAAAAATGCCCTTTTAAGGTTTTTACATTTGTGACCATTGGATGGAATGTTCAAAGCTAGAGGAGGGACTCAGCTGTTATTAATGTTTGGCTCTTTAAGAACATTCCTGCTTGTACTCATTTTTTCCTACCATTTATACTTTTCTGATTTTTTTTTTAACAATGCAAGTCTATGGAATGAGCTTCACATCCTCTTAAACCTATTGTACACCTACTGAAACGATACTCCCCCCACATACTTTCAGCGACAGTAATCAGTTAAACTTAAAATAGGTTGCAAGACTTGGAGCTATCAAACTTGTATTAAACTTTTTGATATCTTTTACCATTTTTGCATGTCCGCAATTTACGTTTTTACACTGTTTTCAGATGTTTTCTGAGTGAAGACTTGGTGTGTATTGAGCTGCCTAGAGTGGGTGACCTAGGGATTTGTTCCAAATTGCATACTTTTTCTTTTTACTTTCAGGGCAGCTGCCCTTTAAAGTATGTACTGTTGCATGCATGCATACTACTGTCCTGTAACATTATGCCCTAAACTTCGACCCTCTTACACATTTATTCGTAACCTTTGAGACAAAACAAAATGCCGTTCACCTAGTTCACCTCAGAGATGGAGGTAAACCCAGAGATCTGCTGTTGTTGTTACTTTGCAGTGTATGTAGTTCTAACTTTAAAGTTATAGCTGTTTATAAAGGTAGATTCAAACATATATTCACCAAAGTAAAATTACATGTTTTTCTGTCATTATTTTCATACATATGTCCTTTGGTTGTTGGTTATCTTTATGATGTTTTTGTTCATGTAAACAATTAATATTCTTATTATTGCTATTCAAACGGTCATCACTTAAATTTGCTTTCAGCTGTCATTGTGGTTTCTGAGAGCCATCATCTGTCAGTTGAGACGAATTGTCCGTTGTGCAGAGGATTGTGGGTCAGAATAGCCAGAAAAGCATGCTGGCTGCATGCTGCAAAATACAACCAGATGTAGTAGAACATCCTGGTATTTCTGACATACTGCATTTGACACACTATGTATTAGGACATACTAAACCTTTTTCTGGCATACTTTGTGGTATTTTAGTATGGGTATTTGGATGCACAGTAGTTCTTTCTGCCTCTCTTCCTTTAAAAATTTTTCTGACTTAAACTCCTTTTGCCCAGTTGTCACTCTTCATTCACAGGTTTACATGAAAACATAGATATTTTTATCTTCTTTCAGATGATATGCCCAACAAGAGATGCCTTTCCTTCCCTTTAAACAGAAACAGCTGCGTAATCACCATTGGCAGACCCACCAGACTCCATTTAAATAAACAGTAAATTTATCATCGCATAACACATTTCATTCAAAGTCGACAGACACAAAATTAAACTCACTAAAGCTGTTTTGGCTCGTCTTTTAACTGTTCAATCACCAGCTCTGGTTTGGTTGAAATAAATCCATAATACACTCAGTTCGATGTGAAAATATGCTGGCTCTACACACGCTCAAATTAGTCTGGTAGATTTACAGGCAGTGATTTTGGGGCTGCTTCAGGTTAAACAAAACAAAGTTTACTCTTTAACAAAAAGGCCCATCTCTGTAAGGATCATTTCCTTAATGTTGTCAGACACTTGTGACATCCACCTGTCAGTGGCAAAATCAAGTACTTTTAGTGAACATAGCCGTAGCAGCTTGTTTTGTACTCTTCACAAGAAAAAAAAATACTCAGCTATAAGTAGTAAAATTGAACTGTCAATACTTTGTAATTAGTGTTTTCATAGTAGTCCCTGATTTAAAAATTGCTTGGATCTTAATAAAAAACACATTTACTTGCCATTTCACTGACACCAATATATATAATCCATTTCACCAACCTACCTGAAATAACAATCCTAACAAAGCTAAATCAGTTTACTTAAATGATTCCCCCACCCTGCTTAAGGCACCTCAAAGTCGGAGCAGTTAATACCACAAATGTCTCTTTGTCAGTGCAGACAGGCTTGAGTGGCTTATCTTCACACTCACAACACACACACACTCCCTTTATTCCTTTAAACACTTTCAAAGATCACAATCAAGTACTTCAGTTACTGGGTGAAAAAGATGATGGAGTTGCAGGTAATCCGGCAATTTGTTCACAGATTACCATTAAATGGTTAAGAAGTCCAACAGGTGGTTCGAACTAGTTTGCAAGTGCTTAATAAAAATATATGACACAATCTGTAGCTTGTGTGTGTTATTAAAAGACTGCAGGTGTAAATCATCTGCAGCTAACTCAGGTGAAACTGTTGAAAAAATATTGTTTTTTAAACCAAATTAGGCAGCAATGTCTTCGAGGTGCAGACAGACCACAAATAACAAGTAACTTTACAAAATGCAGGTGGGTCAGTGGACAGACTGCTGATTTAATCCCTACTGGAAAGGCTGCTTGATTCAAGATTGCTGTGCCACACGGAAACAGCAGCAGAGAATCAGACTGCTATCAGTGAATAAAGATTCTGTCATCTAGTTCTCCATCCATATATCCAATGTGTACAAGAACGAGGGAGAACAAAATATACCAACACTCAACATACATTTTCATTTTATTTTCTTATCAAAAACAACAAAGAATAGTAAAAAGTTTCATATTGTGGCTAAAAAGAAAATGGTTTCGTTTAACACTTCCCAAACGTGTGGGCTCTTCTCAACTCAAATCTTTGCACACTTGCACACCACAGACAAAAACAAAAGTGAAGTGCTTTCAAGTGTCCTTTTGCTGATCAACTAAGATTTTTAACAGAAATCTGCTTTGTTGGATGCATTGTTACTGTTATGTTTTTTAAAAATTAAAACAAAAAAAAACTCCACAAAATGTTCCAGTGTGTGCATGGATCTAGCTCTGTGTGTGTGTGTGTGTGTGTGTGTGTGTGTGTGTGTGTGTGTGTGTGTGTGAGATAGTAACTCAGCGAGTGACAGGCTGTGTGCTAGCCGTCCTGTTGCTGTATGAAGGGGTTTGGTATAGCCTCCATGCCATCCTGAGGACAGATTAGCACTACGGAGGTTCCTCTGCAGACCACCAGCCCTAGCTGCCTGGTGTCTTCTGTCAGCTTCAGCTGGTCGTCAGGATCTGGACACACAACGATGGATAAAAGGTTACAGACATGCAAGAATTAGAAGTTCACATGAGAAGATGCATTCAATGAACCTGAACCTGTCACACTGTAGGACAGGTGTCAGTAATGTGCAAAAACCCAGCAGTGCAGTAGGAAAGGTGGTGACGAAGGAGACTATTGGCATGTAAACATGAATGTTAACAGCACAGGTTTTCAAACTTTTAAGAAAAACTGGCTTTGCAAATAAGAAAAATCCATTCTGCATGCTTGCAAATGCATTTTGGTGTGTAACACTGGCTGTAAACAGAAACTTTGTCCACAATAAAACTACACAGGGCCCCTTTAAATGGATCCTGCACAATCTTGTGGCACACCATGAGTACAATCTGATTCAAAACAGGGCGTCAACAGAGACGACCTGAGTTATTTCCCTCACCAAGCTGTTAGAAGTCCCTCACAAATCTGACTAACTGCCCACAAACTGTAAAGTTCAACTAAATCTCAGTTTTACTTTCATATTGCTTCTGCTTGTCATAATCGCTGGTAAATACTTGTAGGACTAAACACACTTTTAATGATGAGACTGACTAAAATTGGCAAGGTGTTAGTAGTACTTTGGGTCCCGTCTTCAGGGGCTGCTGTAAGTTTTGTTAGCCACCAGGCGTCACTGTGCCTGCTGCATTTATAGCTGGGAAGTCTGTTTTTTGTGTCATAAAAGACAGCCCATTAGGCTTAATCCCGCATAACTAATAAATATATTTTGAAATACAACCCTTTATATAAGGAAGTGGATGATAACAGTTAAAGGTTTCATGGTTTACAACCAAATGCCAGTCATATTTTGGAGTTGAGAGGGACATTTCGCTCTGTAGTCTCCATACAGACACTATCATACAATCACTTTTTCCACTTTTGTTTGACAGACAGCAATATACCAGTAACATTGTTTGGCAGCGATGGAATATTGCTGTAAGTCTTGATAACCTGTGCTACTACTCCACAGTTTGCATATCACAGTTGGTATTATGTGGTAGTTTCAGTTTTGTGTTGAAGTCTATTTCGCTTTATTTCCTGTGGTGCTGCCCTCAGTCGATAGGATAAGGGCATAATTTAGGTTCATAATGTTTATGGTTAGGTGTTGCAGAGATTACTAGTTTGGGTTCAGGTTGTTGATGTCAACTGTCAATTCGTTAACCGCAGAGAATATTTTGGACTGGATACATGTCAGAATGTGGGTTAATTTTGCTACTCTTTTGTTTACTGCACTGCGCATCACCTGGGACTGGTGGGAACTAGCTCGCATTAGTGGTGCCACTCATTTGGCCATTACTGCCAGCAGCACCAACCACACCCAACAGTCACTAGCCATCCTGACACTGCTGACAGTAGTAATGTTATAGGAGGTTTTACAGCAACACATTTTGCTACCAGGACATTATTAGCAACTGTAATCACAGAATGAGTTGTGCAGCTAGTTAGCTAACGTTAGCTCCCTCCCGACCCTGTGGGGCGCAGTGCAGAGTAGCCTTGTGGTAGAGTGTCCGCCCTGAGACTGGGAGGTCGTGGGTTCGATCCCCGGCCGGGTCATACCAAAGACTATAAAAATGGGACCCATTGCCTCCCTGCTTGGCACTCAACATCAGGGGTTGGAACTGGGGGGTTAGATAACCACATGATTCCCAAGCGTGGCACCGCTGCTGCTCACCGCTCCCTCAGGGGATGGGTCAAATGCGGAGAACAAATTTCACACACTCAGGTGTGTGACAATCAGTGGAACTTTACCTTTACCTTTACCAAAAAACCAGCGGAAACCAGAGGTTGGGCAGTGGGCATGTTTCCACATGTTAATGTGGCTGGTTGGCTGTCTGTCAGCAAAGCCAACAGAAAATCAAAATGATAAAATAAATTTGCAAAACACAAAATTTCACCACCTGTAAACGGATCGTACTTTGGAATGTATTGCTAAAGCCTCACTAAGTCAAAGGTGCGCCACACTAAAAGGAAAGGCCTCAACATTTTTCCCCCTACAAAACTTAATCAGTTAGTTACTGGTTAATGTAATAATATACTGCAAAATTGGACCGGAAGTAGTAGAACATCCTTGTATTTTTGGCACACTGCATTTAACATACTATGTATTGGGACATACTTTTTCTATACCATACTAGGGCGATTATTTTCATTGTCGACTAATCTGTCAATTATTTCTTCGATTAGTCGACGAATCATTTTATCGAAAAATGTGTTAAAATGTTGAAAAATGTCGGTCTGTCTCGCCCAAACCCCAAAATTATGTCACCTAATGTCTTGTTTCGTACTCACGCCAAAGGGTTTTAGTTCACCGTCATGGGAGAGTGTGTAAAGCTGCCAATATTTGAACATAAGAATCTGCAATAAGAGTATTTTGGGGTACTTTTATAGTACTTTTCTATGAAAAATGACTCAAACCTATTTGTCTACTACTAAAATAGTCACCGACTATTTTAATAGTCGATTAGTCATCAATTAGTTGACTAATCGTTGCAGCCCTATACCATACTATGTAGTAGGGCAGTGTGGGTACTGGGACGCGCAGATAGATAGCTCACTCTAAAGTAAGGAAATCACCAACGATTTCTCAAATGATAATACAATAATGAAAACATAGTTATGAATATTATACTCATTTATGCTGATAAATCACACTCAATCCTTCACACTGGGCATTTAAAGGCAACACAAGGGTATACATAATAGTAGTCTAGTGGAGCACAGTTCTCCAGTGTCTTTCGTTACACAGTGTAATTAGCCTACTGGATATGAACAAGATTTACACTGTCATGTCAATGGCAATATTCCTCCGTCACAATCAGCGCACTGCTGAACGCAAATTACCTCAGTTTGACAACTTTTTATGACTCAAGAACACATTTCATTTGGACTTAGCAGAATAGTTTGCAACTTACCACGCATGTACTCGATTGTTCCGTCCAACACCAGGTTCAACAGCGGGTCAAAACCCTTCAGGACACCGCTGGCTGAGAGGGAAACACAGTGTCAAGCATTAGTGCGGATCACTTTAATGACTTCAAGGGAAACAAACGCACCATTTACACCGGCTAACTAGGTTAGCATTAGCTTATTATCATCACAACAATCCACCTACCCTCTCGTCCTCCTTGAAACTTCACTCGAATCGGCTTGTCGATGTATTTTGACAAGTCGAAGATGCTCTCCTTCTTCTTCTTCTCTTTATCCTGCACAGAGCAAAGGGACATTTGTTTGTAAGTCACATGTAAGCTCGCGTACAAACACCAACTTAGCCTCAGGTTAGCTCTGCTTGGCTAGCTAAGTTAGCAGCAGTCGCTTTACATTTGAACATTTCTTCTACATCCCAGGTCAAGTACGGAATAAATAATTACTGGCTAAAGATATCTTTTACCATGTTTAAGGGTGCAAATGTAAAAAAGAGGCTTGAATGAAAGCGAAAACCATACGAACTCACCGCCATGTTAGCTGTATAACCCGGAAGTTAAACTGTGACCTCAGAAGTGTTCCACCAATCAAATCATTGAGCGCCTCTAGCCGACGTCACTAGTTTGTTTTTTATTAGTTTGTTGAGCCTATTATTAAATTACTAACCGGAGGAAATTATCAGGGTATAATATTAAAACAGTTGTGTTATATTATTAGCCCCCCTGTGTTATAATCAACATGTGTTTTTCAATCTGACCTTTTCCTTGTTGTGTTTTCAGTCAGCAGTCAGTCAGGGGGAAAGTCTATTAATACCACCAGTTGGTGGGTTGTGAACTAGATCAGGGACTAGGTACTGCACAGAAGACGGCTGGGTGGCTGTGACATGGCCTGCAGAGCCAACACTGAGCTGAAACCTCAGAGCTTTAAATTCACAGTTCTCTCTGAGCAGATAAACAAACTTGAGGAGGACAAATCTACTTCACATGTGACAGACTCTGCCTCTGAACCTGATGCAGTCCCTGATGCTATTCTACGGGTTGAAGGAGAGAGTTTTTATGTCAACCGTCAACGCCTGGCCCTTCAGAGTCCCTACTTCAGGGCGCTGTTTTTTGGCGGTGGCCTGGAGAGCAGCAAAAAGAGAGTGGAGATCAAGGGTGTGAGTCTGCAGCATTTTAGGGTTTTGATGGAATACAGCAAGACACAAAGTCTGGCTCTGGACAGAGAAAATGTTCTGGGGATCCTTGAGACTGCTGATTTTTTACAACTGGAGCGAGCAAGGCTGCTGTGCTGCAAGTAACTGGAGCGTGAGCTGCATCTCAGTAACTGCCTGGGAATGATGGCCTACGCCTGGCAGCTGGGCTGCACTCAGCTCTATGCCGCAGCACGACAGGTGGTGCTCACACATTTCTCTGCTATTGTGGCTGAGGAGGACTTCCTGTCCTTGTCTAAGGAGAGCGTAGCAGACCTTCTTGCCTGTGATGACCTGGCCATCTTTAAAGATGATCTGGCCCTGGAGGCCACCCTACGCTGGGTGTCATTTGACCCCAAACGAGAGGAATATTTTCAGGAGCTCGTGGAGCTGGTGAGGCCTGAGTCGCTCTCTGTACCATTTGTCACTGAACTTTTGATCAAAATGAAAAGCTCTGACCCCGTAGCCAAGCTCATCTGCAAGCTGGATGAACATTTCCCAGCATCTTGGTCAATAGGAAGGTCAGTGAAGAGGATCAGGGCCAGAGAGACCCTCTTTGTCCTGGGTGGACCTCACGATCAGGAGCAGCAGGCACTGTACCAGTTTCACCCGCACAGTGGAAGATGGCAGAGCTGTGCACCTCTGCAGAGGAAGAACCTCACACAGTATTCAGTAGCTGCAGTAGGTAAAGATGGGGTGTGGATTATAGTGATGAAGATGAGGGTGATAATAAGTGTGTAGATTTATGTCAATCATCTGTACATTTGTCTCTCATTATGTAGGAGACAAGGTGGTCGTGACAGGCGGCTACTTCCGGGACGTGCTGTGGTTCAGTGTGGACTGGGTCAGGATATACGAATGTGGGAACCAGCGCTGGGTGGATGGGCCGGCCCTGCAGAAGTCCAGGCACAGCCACTGCTCCATAGGGCTGGACTCTGTACTGTACGTCCTGGGGGGCAGCATGGACGAAGGGCTTGTGGCTAACGTGGAGAGGTTGGTCCTGGGGTCAGAGGAGGGCTGGGTGGAGGTCAGCCCCTTGGTCAGGGCTGTGGAGAGAGCCGCCACTGCTGCTCTGGGGTTGTATATCTACGTGGCATGTGGCCTGGATGAAAACGGGGAGGTGTATGGTGGAATTCAGAGGTACATGGTGAAGGAGGATCACTGGGATGTGGTCTCCTATTCTCCGTTTCCACGGTGAGTGAGTTTTTAATAGCAGACTTTAATTTCTGTCATAATCAGACACAAACTTAGTATATGGTTTTCAAAATAATTCTTTCACAGATATGACCTGGTTGCCACAGAGCTCAACGGTGCCCTCTACCTGTTTGGAGGCCTCGCCTTGCGCTTTGACGTGGAGACAGATGAGTGGACTGTGCTAGAGGAGGAAAGTCTGGACAGGAAGTTTTTCTGTGGCTGCACAACAGTCACTGGACAGATATACTTGGTCAGCGAGAGAAAGAGTAACAAAGCATTCCCAAACATGGTGCTGATGGACCCCTACATAGACACCTGCATTGAGGTAGATGATGCCATACCCTGCCCGGTGCCCCTCAGAGGGTGTGTCACCATGAGGATGTTTCTGTGACTGAAGGAAAGCACGTTCATCTTGTTTGTGGTTCTGTTAAAGACTGTACTGAATAATTCAAAGCCTCCTTCATGATGTTGACGTTTGAATTCGAAATCCAAATTCAGATGCTACACAGCTTTTTTTTTGCATGTTTATTAATTCTTTTTAACCCCAGTATTTCTGCACAGTTGCGCATAAAGATGAGCACAAACTAATATTAATAGTATTATATTATTTGTGTATAATGAGATATTCCAGTGGTGGTTGCATAGGAGTGTTTCCGACTTGTGTGATCCAAACCTTTTCAGTATCTCCAGAGCATTGCAAAATATCTAAAAGTCAAAAGAAAGGAAGTGTTTATCTCATGATATGTTCTGCTTAAACCCATATTTGTTGGTGTTTGCTCTCCTTCTTGTCGCGCACAAAGGAAGGCACGCACCTGTATTAATGAGGCGGTCTAGCTGGGTACAGATCTTCCTATAGGCAACATAGGCAGCTGTCACATAAAAAAACAAAAATCAAAAAAACATCCGACACAAGTGAAATTGTGGAGTAGAGTGTATGTGGAAAGAGTTTGAGTAAGAAAAAATTAATAGGCAAAAGCCTTTCTGGCTGCAGTATAAGAGAACAAGATGAAATTTTCACACACCGTATTTTCTTATTGTTTGTTACTTATTATTGTTGTTTGTCACCTGTTTATTTGTGTTGATTTTTCATTAGGTCTTTTTGTTGTTGGTAATAAATAAAATAAAATAAAATAAAATAAATGTAAAAGGGGTGGGGGTGGGGTGCCAGTGGAAGTTTGCCTAGGGTGCCAAATGTGTTGTTTCTGGCACTGGATCTAGCAACACTCTAACAGCACGATAAATACATTTATAAATTGAAGAAAATTAATTCAATAAAAAAGAAAAAAAACCACCCCAAGTCATTTAATCTGATGCATCATCATATCAAAACTGAGAATTTTGTTGGAGGATTAAAAGAAATATCAGGGTGATGACATAAAAAGAAAATGACAGTCATTCAAAGCCTTATTTTAAAAGCCTTGAAAAATATATATACGTATACATAGATAGATACATTAGGAGTGGGGGAAAAATTGATACAGAATAGTATCGCGATATTTTTGTGCAACAATATCATATTGTCACACAGTGCCATGTATTGATTTTTTAATATATATTTTGTTAATACTACAAATAAAAATTAAACTTTAGGTACCCTACTAGACTAATATAATGAATTGCTTTTTCAGTCCACTAGATGCATTTTGCTGCTGAAAAAAATAGCTCAACTCAGATGAACAGACTGAAAGTTTTATATTATTAGATAAAACAGATATTAACAAAGTTTTCATTTGGGGACATAATAAATACAGTTGAAAAAAGGTAATAAATCACAATATATCATCACAAAATATTTTAGCGCAATACTCAGCATATTGCAAAAGATTTAAAATGGCAATAATATTGAACTGAGACTTAAGTATCATGCTAACATTGTATTGTATCAATTCTCTGATGATTCTCATCCCTGATATATATGTTAGTATATATACATACAGTGGGTACAGCCCCTTTTTATGTAAGAGCTCGGGATTAGGGTGAAATTTAAAAAAAGAAAAGAAAAAAAAGCTGCTTTAAAAAATGTATAAAATGGATAGAATGAACATGGACTCAAGAGTAGTACAATAAGACAGCAGGGCTAATTTATTCAAGAGAAGTAATTTATTAAAACTTTCCAACTGGCCACACAATCAACAAAGCGTCCGTGTGCGTTCAGAAGAAAACAGTCAAGTGTTACTTTCATGGAAACATGACATTTCTCCTACTTTCATATCTATTTTTAATTTAAAAACAGTATCCTAGTGGGGGTCATGATGTGTTACCTAGTGGGTCAGCCCTTTGAGTGCTCTATAACTTCATTTTAAATCCACCTTGTGTCGTGGGCTGCAGTATGATTAAGTCCCTGCTCAGAGACACACAACCCAGTTTCTACTCTCACCACGTATCTTCAAGAGTTGTCCTTACTAACCTGTGAATATGCAACACCTGTTTCTGGTAGTGAATGACCTCCTGTGTATGAGTGTACTGTAGTTTATGATGGTTCTGAACGATATCTCTGTTGACAATCACGATGACCCATCTGGAGCCAAACCTGGAGACAGTTTACAGACACTGAGCCATGTTTTTTTCACGGTTAAAATACATGTAAAATCCAATTATGTCTTGTTCTTTGTCTTGTCATATCAAAATACGCCATCAAGTTTATAAAAAAATCTTTACATTTACATCTGAGCCATAAAGCATTTTGACCTTTGTAGACAACTCCGCTATCTAAAATACCTCACATTTCACTAATGCCCATCTGTGTGCATGTACTTTTCATGGCTTACCTATTCACTACCAGCCTCACTAACATTTCAAGCAAAACATTAAAACTGCTCAAAGTAAAAACTGTCCAGTGAAGGTAATCCTAGTCACACACAGAGCGTAATATCAAGTGTTTGTCACAGAAAAGTGTAAAAACAGCAGCCAAGGCACAAAACTAAAGTCCAGTAGAGCAAACCTTAACAAAAAAACTTGTTGAGAAGTCATGCTGCCCGTCACAATGACAGTCAAAGTAGAAAACAAAACACACACACACTCACACAAATATGTGGTTTAAGTTCATACTTCTAGGAGCAGTAGTTTTTTGTAAAGGCAGCATTTTTAGCAGACATGGGGAGTGTGTTCTCTACAAGGACATGTTCTTCTATGGGCACCAGGGGGCGCCACATCTCTTCTAAAAAGTGATAAATCAAATCCTATCACAGAAAAATATAACTTTATCCTCCCTAAAGGACTTCTGCGGTAGCCTTTAAGATTCTGCCACATTATTGCAACAACATAAAAATCACCTGTTGAGTAAATGGTTCATAAAAAATAGATCTATAAAGTGGTTTATCAACAGATTTACTACAATCAATATTCTTAGTTGTCTATGTACAATCAACCATACTGTGTATGTGAATAGAAAGATATGGGAGTGACTTAGATTCTAGCTTCAGTTTGCCCTGTTTAAAACATGTTAGACCACACATTAGATCAGAACAGATGGACTTTGTGTAAAAAAAAAAAAACAAAGAGCAAAGAAAGGATAAATGCATCGTAGCACAGTTCAGGTATTTACAAAAAATATAATACAATGGAAATTTTGCCAAATCTATCTTAACAGTATGCAGCGGTATGGATGACGGTAACCAAGGCGTTACTTCCTAATCTTACACCGGGTGTGCAGATTTACAATCATCAGTGCGTCTTCGCCTAGCCTGATCTGAAATCATCAGTGGACCGTGCTGGATGTACACAAGACACATGTATGTATCGTATGTCAGAAATGAGTCTCCAAATAGGCGGTTGGGGGGGAAATAACTTATTTTTCCAGTGAGACTCGGTCGACGTGGAAAAGGCCGGCTGCTCCACTATCTGGCTTTGGGCATTCTGCTGTTTATATTCCTCTGGTTGGTCAGGTTGTTCAGGACGCAGTTGTTAGCCAGCGACGCCAGTTTGGAGTTGATTGTGCCCTTTCTTTGCTCCCAGCTGCACTCGTCCCCTTCCTCCTCGGGCTCCTCCTCTTCGTCGTCCACTTCACTCTCCTCGTCACTGCGTTCATCACGCTCCACCTGTGAGGAAGATAAATTCATTCAGTCATTTTATGTAACCGTTTATCGTGTTGGGGGTAGCCCTGGACAGGTCACCAGACTATCACAGGGCTGACACATAGAGACAGACAACCATTCACACTCACATTCACACGTACGGACAATTTAGAATCACCAATTAACCTGCATGTCTTTGGACTGTGGGAGGAAGCTCAAGGAGAAGACCCACGCTGACATGGGCTCCCCCACCCCGAGATTCAAACCCCCCACCCCAGGTTTGCACCAGGAACCCTCTTGCTGTGAGGCGACAATGCTAACAGCTGCATCACACAATTTTTGTCACCAAACTGACTGTGCTAAGCCTCTGTTCCCCTTTTATCTGCACTCTTCTCCTCACCTTGCCCATGAACACGAACTTGTAGACCATGCGCAGGATGAGATAGGCCCAGAAGATGTGCAGGGCTTGCAGCACCAACAGAAGGCCGTTGAAGAAGTAATAACCAAAGAAGGGCTGAAAGAATTCTAGAGACACCACCAGGGTTGTGTGAACCACTCTGAAAAACAAACACAGGAGGACATGGTCAGTTTTAGTATCGCCCTGGCACCAACTTTCAGTGATTCCCAACTGGTGCAGCCACGGAGTCCAGATTTGTCATCAGTCATTATTTCAAGGTCTACACAGTTTATATATTCAGCGTCATACTGGTGTTTGTCCATGTCGTCGAGCTAGTTAGCTGTCTCCTAATCACTCTACAGCAAGAAATGGCACTTCAAAATAAAAGCTCTGTGCTGGATATTTGCTGCACTTTAAAAGCCGGGACCCACATTTAGACCACGACCCACCAGTTGGGAACCACAAGTTTAGAGCATATCGACCACTAAGTAGAGTTCATACAACTGGGAAAATCCCCTCTTTACTACAGACTGTAAACCTGCTGCTCTCAGCTCAGAAACCAGTGATGTCAGGTCGGTGGGACAGAGAGAGAACAGGGCAAAGATGCATGAGGAAATAGGAGACAACATGGACACAGCTGGGCACTCCAGAACAACGGCGCAGATCCCCGACAGTTCAACAGTTCAACATTAGTGCACACCGCAGGAGCTACAAAAACAACAACTCTGTGTATGATGCAATGTAAGTATCTGTGTGAAAGTTGACTTGTATTATTCTTGGGACACAAACGTGCATAAAAACTTGGTGACTCTGAGTTTGAGGCAGTTTTGCAATACTATGTGTTTCTGGGAAATTTCAACATTTGGGAGAAACTGGGGGAAAAACATGGAATCTGTTTTACCTGCCAGGAAACACCACCAGCCTCGTCACCAGGAAGACCAGAGAGAAGATGACAAAGAGTGAGTCGCATGTCTTCGTCCAGCCAGCGTAGTGAAACATCTTGGCAGACTATCAGAGAAAAACATGCCTGTTAGTTCTCCAAAGCAAACACACAGCTTACATCTAAGATGAATCACTACATGCAGGTCCAGGCTTTTCTCTGATGTTGTTTTTTACTGTCAGCAGCCAAAAAGAAGTTCAGTGACGGGCTGACAGGCTGCAGGATAGTCTCCTTTAGTCTACTGTACCGCCCTGATCTTATTTCATCAATTTTGGCTTTTTGTAACATAGGAAATACCACTGCCAGTTACTGAGAGGAAAAAGGGAGACTTTTCTGAATGTAAAAGAAGAAGAGAATTCTCCAATATGAGCTCTCAGTCATTTAAAGAAGCAGTGTGTAGGATTGTGTGACATCTAGTGTTTGGTATTGCAGATTGCAACCAGCTGAAACGTCTTCAGTGTGCTGAGCATGAACTCCAGAGGCCGAATTCACAAACACTCTGAGAATACTCTCAGAGAGCTCCTAACTTAGCCTAAACAATTTTAGTAAGGAGTCCTAGCTCAGCAGTGATAGGTGTGATGCATTCGTTTAAAAGGTGTGATTGGTTGTCACAGACACACCCTTTTGTGAGCCTACAAGGTGTGGACACCCAGTGGAAATGAAATGAACTGCATCACAATATGAAACTGAAAGTGTTGTCATTTTTGTGTGATCACTGCTGTTGGACGGTTGAGACAGACACAAGTCAACACTGCTGCATTTTTCCAGTTTTTCAAATATCTTAGTGTTGTGATCATTTTGTTTCTGGCGTTATAGCGATATTTCATTGGATGCTAAATGTGTGCATACCCCTAATAAGATCGACCAAAAATATTATCCCCGCATGATCTAATCTGTAGCATTTCATTAACCAGTGTTTGGAGAGTATTTCTCTGACCTCTTTGTGTTTCCACCATTTTCTCCTCTGCTTAAGAAACTCTTCAGCCTCTTAAAAGTCCTCCTCCCCACTCTTAATCGTTTTTCACCTTATGAGCTCTTTTAAGGTCGAAGATGCTCTGAATAACTTTTGTCTTTACAAAGACCTAGCCTTAACTGTAAGGGGAAATTCTAAGAAAACATCACAATTCTAAGAATTTTCTTAGAATTTCGTCACTGGGAGCAACTCTTAGCAAAAGGAAGCTTTGTGAATACGGCCCCAGGTGATCAAAACTGGTAATCACACTGAAAAAAGGGATTTCACGTTATAAATCACTGTTTCCCCGACACTGTTCAGCTCGTTGCAGACGGGCCAGTAGCCCAGCACCTGCTAATGAGTGCTCATCTTTTATCTCTCAACTTAAGGACCAGGGGTTGTATTCACAAAGCTTCCTTGTGCTATGAGTTGCTCCTAGTGATGAAATTCTAAGAAAATTCTTGAAATTGAGAAGTGTGATGTTTTCTTAGAATTTCTCTTTTAAGTTAAGAAATGGTCCTCATAAAGATAAAAGTTATTCACAGAGCGTCTTACACCCTAAAAGAGCATAAGGTGAAAACGTTGTTCGGAGCACAGAGGAGGACTTTTAAGAGGTTTAAGAGTTTCTGAATCAGAGGAGAAAATGGTGGAGACACAAAGAGGAAGGAGAAATATTGTCCAAACACTGAAAGACAGGGAGTAAATTAAATGCTGCAGATTTGATCGTGTAGGGATCATATGTGTGGTCGATCTCATTAGGGATACGCACACACTTCCTACTTCACAATTTAAGGCCAGAAATAAAATGATCACAACACTAAGAAATCTGAAAAACTGGAAACATGCAACAGTGCAGCAGTGATGACACACTAACGATGAGAACACTTTCACTGTCTGCAGTTCATTTCATTTCCACTGGGTGTCCACACCTTGCAGGCTTACAAAGGGGTGTGTGTCTGTGACAACAAATCACATCTGTTAAAATAATGCACCACACCTCCCCACTAAGATAAGTTTCTGTCAACAAGATGGTGTTATCTATTCCTAATATACCAACACAGTTCCCCTACTCAGCATCACACGTCTGGCTGTGCAGAGGTTACTGGCTGAATATGACACCCACATTATCCCTTTACGACTTTTATCACAGGCCAGACGACACCCAGCCAAGCCTGAGGTCACATGACCACCTCCACATATCTCCTCAGCTCTGAGATAACAATGATCATTTCCAAACACTATCAGTATAACGTTACATGCAGGACAATCAGCCTCATAAAACAGGACAGTGGGGCTATTGTCTCAGCGAGGGACTTGCAGGTAAAACTTTTACAGCCACAAAGGGTATTTTTATTTTTACCACAGCCCACAATGCTCTTCTATGTATAGCTCTATCCGAACCGGATGTGGGGTTATAATGTGTCAGGGTGTAAGAAAGCTTCCGCAGTAAACACACAATGGTTGTATTCAAGTCGATTTCCATGTAACCTTTGTTGAATGTTTGTGGCGTTTCAAAGCACTGCCCAGGATGAGTAAATATGATTCATCTGATGTATTTCCTCCTTCTTTCCCTTTCTTAAACTTGAAGTAAACATTTGAACGATTGAAACACTTCACAGAGGTTGAATTTCATGTTTGGTGTTTTACCTCGAGGAGGAAGTCGGACGAGTCGTGCACCAGCATCACCAGCGTGCCAACCCTCACATAGTTGGCACAGTAGGAGAAACCGATGAGGAATATGGTGGCGATGTGATGAATTACCTGCTCCTTGAAGTCCTGGAAAACACACATGAACACGCAGACAAGACCACACAGTCTGAGGAAGATGTATCGTGGCAGTAAGACTTCAGCAGCTCTCTGTCTGCGGTCGTGTTCGTCAGCTGTGTCCAAGTATTGAAAAGGTGGATTAACATGTTGTCTGGAGTGATTTGTTATGTTCGAGGCTCTGATATCTTTGATCAACAGCTTGGAGCCTCTGATGAATCACACCAAAACCACCTCAGTGTTTTTCTCACTGGAGGGAAATTCCCAAGAAAGCAGCAGCAAGAATTTCAAATGCTTTCCTTTGAACACGAACATGAAAAGAGATGAATTACAGTGATCATTTACTGTAATTTCTGCATATAACGCAATTTAGCAATGCAGCAAAGTCTATCTGAAACACGTCCAAAAGTTTGTTGTGTTCCTTTGCACAGCTCTGGGGTAAATCAATTTCTTCCTCCATTCCTAATTCAGTGAATTTTACAGTTCGTGCTAATCTCTTACTAAAGATTTAAAATCCTGCCACACTCAGATCTAAAATGAGAGCAAATGCTAAGTACACAAAGTTATGATGTAATAGGAGATAATCCAGTGCATAATCCGTATTAAGTGTAATCGTGCAAGAGAAAAACATTTGGATTACACTGTGCAAAAAAAACAAGTGTGTGAGCGATGACATTTGACTTTTCGGTGTTAATCATTTGGCTAAAAGATCCAATGAAATGCAGAGAAATTGCTGCTCTGAGGTTTTATGTTAATGTGTACATGTGTGTGTGGGTGGATGGGGGGGGTTTCTGTGACACTCACTTTTCGCTTGACGTCCACAGAGACGCACAGGAGCAGTGACAAATAGAAACCCATTTCCAAGATGTAATACCAGTAATGAGCCTCGGCCACAGGCTGAAGAATGAGAGGAAGACAAAACAATAAGTGAAACTTTGCCTTCAGTGGTATGTGGCTGCAACATCCCGCTTATCTGCACGGCCTAACAAAAACAGACGCACGTTGAAACGTTTAAAGGCAGCAAAGCAAAACATTCTAAACATATTTTGTGAAACTGTTGTCATTTTTGCACAATCTGTGTTGTTCAACTGTATGTTTTAAAAGCTAAAAGAGCAGAATGAACCAATCTTGCAGCGTGACTCTGGCCCCTAAAGCATGTGTGCTGATAAAGATCTGGAGGTAACAGGACCCTAAAGGCACCCTTTGTCCTAAAACTACACAACAACTGAGCATTAGCAGCTTCACCCTGTGAGAAAGTAAAGTAGTAAAGTCCAGCAAAAGAGTCCAAAGCTCTTAATGGTCACAAACTATTTCCCTCACATTCCCATGCAGAACATGCTGTATAGTAACAACCCTGCTTTCAAGAAGAGGAAGTGTTTTTACTGAAGGAAAGCGGAGCTGTACTATCTTAAACCAAAACACCTTGTGCTTTCAAAGTCTGCGGCAACACAATGGTAGGAAGTTGACAGAGGCATTTAACCCTAAAAAGCACTTCCTCTCTCTCTCCAAAAAAAAAAAGAAAAGGGTCAGCAGCAGTGCTGCCTGCAGGAACTGTAATCAGTCAAACTGCAGATAGAAAGATCTTTGCTTTTTTTCCAAGTGCTTTCTGTTCGAGGCCACGACCCCACAAAGAGAGGCTGGTTTCCCCAGAGGAATGCCGACCTGCAGCTACACCTAACTGTCACCAGAGCTGTAGAGATATTAGCTTTTTTATGTCAGGGGAAAAAACACTACGGCAAACGGTAAAGGAAGCGAAGGAATGGAGATAAAAATTAATGGGTGGGTGGAGAGCGCTGGACGAATTGTGCTGTGAAGCCAAAGCTCTCTGTGGCTAAATCCTTCAACACAGACTAAAGACTTTGTTCTGTTGGCTCCATCTCAGCTCTTATTTTTTCTACTTACTTTTCTTTTAAAGGTATCAGTGTTTGTATTAGGGTTGTATATAGAGTAACAATTCTTCTCACAACCATTCATTTGTCAAATAATTTATCATTTAGTCTACAGACTGAATCACATTTGTACACAATAACTAATAAAATAATAAAAAATACAAGAATTACATATATGAAATTAAATGTTGCTGATTAAAAATCCGATAGCCACCTAAAAATATCACAATAAGTTTAAATGTAGGCTGTATCTAGAACATTTTCACGACTTTACCTCACCATCAGACAGCCCTTTTCAGTTACTAATGCTATTATGTCAAAGCCACCAGACTCCACTGACATAATAGCAATTTTACTTTCCAGAACAGGAGAGTTTCTGGTCTGCTGCTGCCTTGATTGGTTAGTTTTAGGTAATGCGGAAAAAATCTTATATAGCAGACACTTATACTCATATAGTTTTTGTCAGGTGGCTGTTTTTAGGTGGCTAACCTTAGTTTTGCTGAAGCCCCCTTCCACAGCAGTACATTGCTTTGCTTTTTTGCTGGTAGATTTGGTTTATCAAAGATGGTAGCTAAGCAACACGGTACATAAAATAAGCACAGCAGAAATGGCAGATAGGTCAAACCATTTTGTAAAACTATATATCTAGCTATACTATCTATCTATAAGTTTGCCAGTTATATATATCTCCACAATTCAAAACAACTGCCATTAGTCCACCTGGAAGTGATTGTTGTTAGCGCGACGTAAAGGTGGTTCAGTCCATAAACCCTGACAACATAAACATTTGAAATGTTGCTATGCCTGGATTGCAGATCGTGGTTACGCTGGTTTCTACCATTTTTTTTCCCCGTAAAAGGTTTTTTTGGGGGAATTTTTCCTTATCCCCTGTGAGGGTCCAAAGGACAGAGGGATGTCGTATGCTGTAAAGCCCTCTGAGACAAATTGTGATTTGTGGACACCTTGACGCCATGACACTAAAACCTACAAATCAAGCCAGAAATCTTGGTGTTGTTCTGGACTCAGACCTAAATTTCAATAGTCACATTAAGACAATTACAAAATCAGCCTACTACCACCTTAAAAACATAGCAAGAATAAAAGAATTTCTGTCTAAACAAGATACAGAAAAACTTGTTCATGCTTTCATTTTCAGCAGGCTGGACTATTGTAACAGTGTCTTCACAGGCCTGAGTAAAAAATCAATCAGACAACTGCAGCTCGTCCAGAACGCTGCTGCCAGAGTCCTCACCAACACCAAGAGAGTGGAGCACATCACACCAGAGCTTAAGTCACTGCACTGGCTTCCTGTGTGTCAAAGGATAGACTTTAAAATCTTGTTGTCTATAAAGCACTAAATGGTCTCGGGCCTAAATACATCTCTGATATACTTGTACGTTATGAAGCATCCAGACCCCTCAGATCATCTGGAACAGGTTTACTCAGTGTTCCCAGGATCAAAACCAAACAAGGTGAAGCAGCCTTTAGTTTTTAGTGGAACAAACTTCCAGAATATCTGAGGTCGGCTGAAACTGTCAACTCATTTAAATCAGGGCTTAAAACATTACTATTTACTGCAGCTTACCAGTGAACTAGATATGTAACTTATTGTTAGGATAATCTGTAGCTATTGTTTTTATATTTGTCTGCTGTTACTTTTGCTTTATGTTTGCTTTTTAAATGCATTTTCTGCACTGTTTTAACTATTTATTGTCTTGCTTTTAGCTTTTGTTTTTAATGATCTATTGTTCCTTTAATTTTTTATTTTAATGTATTTCTCTTGTAAAGCACATTGAATTGCCTTGTGTATGAATGGTGCTATATAAATAAAATTGCCTTGCCTTGCCTTGCCTTGTGATATTGGGCTTTATAAATAAAATTGGATTAGGTTGAATTGAATTGAAATGGACCCCTTTGTATTTCCTGTTGGGCTGTTTGTTAATGCAGCAGCTGACCAAAACTATAAATTATTATTTTTATAGTTTCCTTGGTAGCTAACAGGAAGTAAGCAGGGATCAAAGCTGTAGCCCTAGCAACAACAAATTAGCAATGAAACGGTCCATAAATTGTCAGGAAATACGCACTGCAAGTTCAAAGAGCCGAAGGAGATGTTTTTAAATTGCTTGTTTTGTCCAATCAACAGTCCAAAGCCAAAGACTTTCAATTTACAATCACATGAAACTAGAAAAAGAAGCAAAATGTCACATTTGTGTTTGGCCTTTTTGCTTTTTTAATTAATCCATGATTCAGTGGACTGTTGATCTAATCATATTGTGTTGAATCTACACTGACTGATATCAAGTGTTAAAAATAACTGAAAGGTCACAGGGTGCTGGCATACCAAGCAACAGTCAGCCATCTGTCAATGTCAGCTCGTTGTTGAGCTTCTGTCACCCTAGTGTTTGCTGTTTGTCCTGCCATGTTGGCACTCGTCGGCCTCTGTGGGCTTCTTTTCAGCTGAATCAGCGTGCTGAATCAGTGTCAGAGAGGGCGGAGCTGATTGGCAGTTCAACTCAGGGCACGAGAAGAGGAATGGAAGTGAGAACGTGGAGTCAAGAGGGTGTGAGATCGAAACAAACTTGTTATATATGATAAGATTTTTTTTCAGTCATTGAGCTCTTTAGCAAAAATGGTCCGTCATTGCTTGTGTGACTTTTCGCTAGCTCACCATAGATATCCTTTGTTCTGTCAATATGGGTTCGGTTGTTAATGTGCTAACTGGCCAACTAGAGCCCTGAACCCATCCTGTTGGTCTTCTGGGTTGCCTTTTTGAATGACGAATACAGACTACTGCCGCCTGCTGGTATGGAGAGTTATTTCCTCTCACGCAGGCCCAGAAGGTATGTGCTAGTCGGCCGTTGGCTGTAGTCTTTGCAGTGTGTTTTAAGTCAAACTTTTTGGCCGAGACACTTGCGACAAGAGGCAACACAACAACCGTCCCTTGTTGCCACTAGTTCTTTGATATCGGTTTGGTATGTCTGGGCCTTTACTGACATTTCTAGAGTGAAAGAGAAGCACATCAAGTTTCCTGATTTATTAGTCTGGCTAAGTCTTGAAATACTGCCGGGCAACGTTTGACAGTTTTGTCAATGTCAAACATCAAAACTTTAATTTCAGATCACACTCTTTTTTTGCTCACCTGTTTGGGATAACCCCTCCAACATTCTCTGTGATCCCAGAACCACGGAGTCTGTAAGACAGAACAATCATCAGCAGAGTCTTCACATGACACAGACTTCAGCATCAATATCAACACAAGCCTTGTACCAAAATATGTTAAACAGTGCGTGACCATGACACCACATTGGGGTATGAAATGTGTGTATTACTGCTCACATCCAATAACAAGTCCTGCTTCTTTTCCTACACATTATATAAACAAGTGTTATCAGTAACGGAGAAATAAAAGCGACTAACAGACTTACATTAATTAAAGAGGCGAGCCCTGCAGTGAACGATATGAGGTAGAAGACAAAACGCCAGCTGCAAAGATAAAAATAAACCTCATCATTTGTTAGAGCCTGCAGCATAAACTAAATGAGTGAATTAGTTTTATCAGGAACAAACTGAGGAAACATCAGAGAGGCATGTTGTGCAGCAGTGCTGTATATTTGCATGAATATGAAAGGTTTCATTCAAACATGCTGAATTTTACTGATGTAATTCGCTTTAGGAAGATAAGATCTGTCTTAAAAACACAAGACGGCTCAGTTAGCTTTTCCTGTAAAGGTAGATGTCACACTATTTTGAAAAAAGAGTGAGACCTCAGTAAAAATATGTAAAAGTGTGCGTTTAAGAAATGAAAAACTCACGAGGCCTCGCAGCACTTTTTGGTGTTGCTTGGTCGGTCCTGGTTCCTCCTGTGTCTGAACCAGGTCTGGATCTTCCTCTGGGAGAGTCCACACTGCTTCCCCAAGCTCGCCACCTCACTCTGAGTACACACACACAAACACACATTTACACACACAGTATGGGTGCACACGTGCAGGGTTAGACTTGATTTTTCAGCATTTTTACGACAACAGTGAGCATGCAACATTTTCCCTCTCCATGCTATGCAAGTTCCTGCATCTTACTGTACACTTATTAAACTACGTTGTCTAATGTCATAGTCTGAGTCACAGGATGTAGTCTGTGCATTCGCCTCCTAATTAAGACAGAATCCCTGTTGCCATGTGAAACTAGACTTGCGTTGCCAGACCTATCACCACACTTTGTTTTAGCGCTGTGCTTGAACCATCAACAACCTCCCAGCTAGCAACCGACACACTAAAACATCATCTAATGTTTTATGATCCAGCCATTCTAATGCCAGGGCTCGCCTTCCCATGAGCAAAGGTTCCACAAAAACAAGTTCCCTCCTGACACTATCTTGCAAGGCCACCGTCGCTTTACCCGAGCTTAGCTCCACCCCAACACAACTGTGATTTGAAATACAAATAACCCAGCACCTTTTTTCCCTCCAGTGTGGAAGTACGACGAGTTCAGTCAGGCCTTTCTGGAGTGCTGGCACAGTGCTAACTGAAACAAAGGTCTGGTTATGCGAGACAAACTGTGTCATGTGTCTGTGGCCTCATATTTACATGACACAAAAACAAATACAACAGTAAGGTGCTGCTGCTGCTGCTGTTGCTCCAGGGCATATGGTAAAATATGATTTGCAAGTGTCGGCACAGTTGCATACATGCTCTTGGAGTGGTGCATTTTCATTTGATATGTCAAGTCACGTCTTGCAGGTCCAGAACAAAGTGGGAACATCACTGTCGCAATGCCAAATGAAACTGAGGGGAGGGTGGAGGATTTCCATGTGAACCGAAACTTCCTCCACTTGTCTGCACCTGCTCACTGATTAAGGGAATAAACATATTTCTCTGCACAATTCTGAATATACAGTAGTTACATTTTATGCAGAGGTTAACTCTGCATAACATTTCTTGGTTTCCCAAAAGGAAATGGTGGCAATGAAAGGTGATCATGTAAAGCCAGGAACAGAGGCAGCATACTAATGGTGGGGGCGTTTAAAGGAAGTAACATCTTATCTCTCTGTAGAGTGAACACACCTCAAACAAAACAATATATTTCCTGTATGACGACTGACCATTGTGCCATCACGTAGCCTCAGTGTCACTCATGTAAATCAGGTGGATCTTTAGGGACTTGCTTTGAATAGTCCAAGGAACAGTTCCTTGTTCCGAGACAGCTGACTGCCATCATGCTCTACAGTCAAGATGCAACAACACCTATAAAACTGTGTAAGCACCACTCGTGCATTTTCACATCTGTCTTTTCACTCTCTGCATTTTGATTCGCAAATGTATGCAAACCTCCTCGCGCATTTCCTTTACTGTTCCTGACTTTTACAAACTCACTGAGCAGAATGAGAGTGAGAAATCCCATCAAGCTGTGCATCTACCCTGCAGGGTTACACAGCCTATCTATGGAGACATGCACCAGTTTCCCTCAGACACCGTTGTATCTTTTCCCACTGCAATCAAGGGTGTAGGTTTGGTTGCGTAATTGTGGAGGATGTAATGACATCGAGGATCAAGTTAAACTGCATTCATATTAATCCAGCAAAGCATGAGCAGTGCAGTGTAAACTGATATATCATTAGTGCAATGCAACCCCTAAAGGAATACTTCATCTACAACATGATCATATGTATATCAGTTACTCACTGCGTGTTACCTTGAATTTGTGGGAAAAAAAAAACTGTTCTTGCCTCCATGCCTCCAAAGTGAAGGGAGAAAAAAACGGCAAACATTCTTCATGAATTGAAGTAATCAGGGTCCATACTTAAATGCACCCAAACTATACCAAAAGACCTGTTTACAAACTCTGACACAACTCGCACAGTATAATCCAAGTGTCATTCATCCAGTTGTATGCTCAGTACTTCCCAAACACACGCACTGTTGTTAAACCTTACTATTTAAAACACATCAGTACAAACGGTCTCACGCATGGACCAGAGGTGTGTCTGGACACAAGCATATGTTTGAACTCTGACCTCAAACAACCATTCATGCTCAGGCACGCTTTGGGAACGCCACATGTAGAGGACGATGTTTAATTTTTCAACGTTTTAGCCAAATGCATGTGTTTGGGAAGTACTAAGCATGGGTCTAAATAAATGAGTCTTTGATTAGACTGCACAAGTTGTGTGAGAATCTTGATTTAGTTTCGCTGTTGTGAAATAGGCAGCATGCTGATGCATTAGTCACCATTGTCGCCTCACAGCAAGAGGGTTCCTGGTTCGAGAAGCCCTTCTGTGCAGAGTTTGCATGTTCTCCTGTGTCAGTGTGGGTTTTCTCTGGGTACTCCAGCTTCCTCCCACAGTCCAAAGACATGCAGGTTAATTGGTGACTCTAAATTGCCCGTAGGTGTGAATGTGAGCATGAATGGTTGTCTGTCTCTATGTGTTAGCCTTGTAATAGTCTGGCGGCCTGTCCAGGGTGTACCCCATCTGGGATAGGCTCCAGCCCCCCCCGGTGACCCCCAACAGGATAAGCGGTTACTGACAATGAATGAATGTTGTGAAATGCCGACCCTGTTTACTTCAGTACATAAAGAATGTTCAGCTTTGGCTTTTTTGGATTCTTCGTTCACTAAGGAGGCAAATAATTTCCTTCATGAATTCATTTCCTTCATGTGTTGAGTAACTGATATACAAATAGTTATTTTGTGAATGAAGTATTCCTTTAAACGACAAACATTACCATTCTAATCTCTTTTTACTACTGCTCTGTGTACTGATAAATTATTGCAAACACTTTTAAAATTTTAATCTCACATTCATTTTTCAGGATGACTTTGTAACATCTGTCCAGGGACGGCAGATGAAAAATATTCTTTAAGCTAATTGTAGCACCTCTACATCAGTGTTTATTAACGTACACTGTCCCTGTTAAATAAACCCACATAAATTCGCTTCATCAGTAAAAAGACTAATGTGCTGCCTTATATTTGATTTATGCTCAGTATACTAGTGTCTTTTTAGAAGAATATAACTATAGATCAAAACATAGATTGAATGTTTGTTTTTTTATCTGATAAACACACTGAGGAAGTGGCAATACTTTTGCCAGTAGGTAAGTAAACGTCTGCAGATCCTCAGAATAAGGTTTGAGTGGCCTGTACGAAGCCTGAGAGTGATATCTTCCACAAAGTGCTCGCTGTTGCTCGTAAGCTTATTGCTGTGAATGTAAGGTAATAACTGAGGGCTCCCTGGGACATATTTCATTCATTAAGCATGAGAGGGCACCATAAGAGATTTTAGTGAGTAAACCAAACTGAAGGTGTGAACGTGGGGAGAACTAAAATAGGAACTGATGAGTATTGAAAGTGAAGGGGAATACAAACTTGCGATGGCGGCTGCCTGTTCTGTTTGTAGAAAGTCTCCAGCTTTGGGATGGGAGCAGCTCGAATCCGAATCCGGTCCTTCACACCTAAATGTCTGCTTAATGGGACACCGATGAGCCTGAGAGGACAGAGAACAGGAGAGAAGAGATTTTTTTTTACCATATCAACTTCAGTCTTTATAGCACAACAAAGTGGAATAAAATCCCAGGGAGTTTAATGTGGGACGACACTAACAGCTGTCCAACGTGACCCTACTGTAGCACAGAGTAATGGCAACAAGATCACTCATTATGCTGCTCCTGACAGCCTGCAAAGCCGCTCCCATGGGCGTGTTGTGTCATTTGGCCAGGCAGCTTTTGTCATTAGCTGATATGGCATCAAGAGACACTTGATCTGCATGTGTGTGTGTGTGTGTTACAGAGAGATGAAGACAGACAGAGCCACAGACAATGTGAGTGTAAAAGCACCAAAGAGATGTTTTGGTTAAGTGTGTGTGTGTGTGTGTGTGTGTGTGTGTGTGTGTGTGTGTGTGTGTGCGCGAACGCCCGCACACGGTTTTAATCACATGTGCGTAACTCTATCTCAGAGATAATCATCCAGAAGTGGGCAGGGGCGGAGAGATCAGAGAGAATGAGAAGGTCAGGAGAACTTTACACAGAGACAAACACTGTCTCTGGTTACAGGAACCCCCAACACACACACACACACACACACACTTACAAAGACACACACACATACACTGACACAGGAAACAGCTGTGGCCCAGGGCGATCAAATGAACACACACCTTTTCACCTCCCAGCTGACTGACAGCTCCTCAGACGTAAACAACACCTTCATACTTCACTGTCCACCACAACAACTAACAAACACCTCAACCACAAAGTACACACATGCCCAGCACTATCTCACACACACACACACACACACACACACACACACACAGGTGCATGCCGATACTCAGTATATAATATAATACTCTGCCACTAATACATCTAATGTTACTGCTGTGCTAATAAATACCTGATGAAGGTACAAATGAGGCTTTAGGCCAAACAATGGTGCTAAACTCACAGAGCTCATGGAGAGCAAGCTCGCGCAGTTTCTCAACTTTAGGACAGATAATACAGACACTGATATGAGGAAGCATGCAAAAACAGGCCTCCTATCGGTTCATCCATCACATGTCCCCGTCACTCTTAATGCCAGTGCTGCTACCAGCAAAACTAGTTGAGTGCACAGGTGAGCTTCCTTTTACAGTCGCCTTGTTGAGCATGAAAGTACAGTCACACACTTCTCGTTTTGCATATTTCCTTCCTCATGTTGTCTCCTCTCTCATATGTTTGTCCTCATTCAGTACAGTTCACCAGACATTTAACCTAGTTATATAGGATTCAGGTATTTTCTTGAAAAATGTGTTTCATATGAATTAAGGTGGGCAGCACCGTGGTGTCGCCTCACAGCAAGAGGGTTCCCGATTCGATCCCGGGTGTGGGAGCCCTTCTGTGTGGAGTTTGCATGTTCTCCCTGTGTCAGCGGGGTTCTCCCCGGGTACTCCGGCTTCCTCCCACAGTCCAAAGACATGCAGATTGGGGATAGGTTAATTGGTGACTCTAAATTTTCCGTAGGTGTGAATGTGAATGTGAATGGATGTCTGTCTTTATGTGTCAGCCCTGTGATAGTCTGGTGACCTGTCCAGGGTGTACCCTGCCTCTCGCCAGCCCCCCCGCGACCCCCAAGAGGATAAGCAGCTAGAAAATGGATGGATGGATGAATTAAGGTCAACAGGAGGTGCATAATGATGGTGATGCAATACATTTGATTTATTGTTCAGCCCTATCATATCACAATATCACATTATCTCTTATTGATACAATGGTGCTGAACAGTGCTAAAGTCCGCACAGAAACACACACACATACACTTGCATGCCATTTCGTTTCCATCAAGCATCTAATCCTCCTTGAGTTGGACACTGTACCTTTAAGTGCTCACTCATGTTAAGAAGCCCTGAATATGAGCTTCACCTGAGCATCTTAATGCAAGTGTTATGTGTCTTATACTGTAATGTAAACCAGGGCTCTGACTATTGATTGCTTTCAGTCATTTAGAAAAATGCACATCACAACTTCCTAGAGCCTGACATTGGGAAATGTCTTGTTTTCCAAAACCCAGTATTCCTTGTTTTTTTTTTAAATAATGTAAGACCAACAAAAACTGCAACATTTGAGAACACTTCAGAACACGGACGTATCGCAGTTGAACAAAATAGCTGCAGATTCATTTTCCGTCAATTGACTATTAATCAGGAGGTAGGAAAAAAATCACTACAGCATAGTATCGCAATATTTTTGTGTGGTAATATTGTATCGTCACCCAGTGCCAAGTTTCGATTTTTTATTATATAAATCATAAATATTACAAATACAAATTAAAGTTTAGGTAGCTTACTAATATACTATTTTCAACTGCTTTTTCTGGCCACTAGATACATGTGCTGCTGCCAAAACAAATGGCTGAAGTGAGATGAACAGACTGAAAACTTTTTCCTTTGTGGACATAATGTACTGGGTACAGACTGGGTGACGTGATGTCAACTGAATGGATTCTGTCACTCTTATGACAGTACAGTAAAAAGGTCTGTTATGGCAGTTGCTGAATTTGCCATAATGTCAGTGAACGTGACACTCCGAGCGAAGTCGTGTGTTTTTAGATGCTGTAAAGCCTGTCAGTCAATTCTAGCACCTATGACAGTGGTTTGTGTGAGATACACACCTGTGACTGGCAGAGGTTTTAGGAGGGAGGGTTGTTGTTATCCTTGCTAGTTCGAGTGTGTGTGTAAGCCGAGGAGCGGGAGTTGTTGAAGTAGCCGCTAATGCAGAGAACACCTTGTAAAGCAGACAGGTTTGTTGTTTTGGCGCTGGCTATGGCCCACAATAGCCTGTGTTAAAGTTAAGGAATAAAAAGCCAGCAGAAGGTGTTCATGCTTGGTTGCCACATTGATAAGGGACGCTACAGTGTCGTGGATCCTCTAGTGATTCCCACCACTACGATTAATCAGACTCTAATATAGTGTGTAGGTTTACTGGCCTACTGTGGCCAACGTGAAAACACAAATGGCCCAATCTAGAGCCAGTGTTTGGTTTGTCCTCTCTAGGCTACTGTAGAGCAACATGGCAGACTCCTTGTTCGAGGACCTGCTCTGTGTGTAGATATAAACAGCTCATTGTAAGGTGACAAAAACAAAACAGTTATTATTTTCAGGTGATTATACACTAATAAAAACATAGTTATGGATATTAAACACCATTTCTACCAATAGATGCCTCTGAATCCTACACACTGGACTTTTAAATGTTGCAAATGTTTAAAAAGATGGTTAAAATTCATTTGTGTTGCTCAAATATTCTACAAACAAAATGATTATCTCATCCTGAAGATTCACAGAGATGTTTTGACCTTTTCTAGGAAGTCTCTAGATGCTTCAGTGAGATATGCGTAATAAGCACTACTGGGGATTTACATCAAAGTTTTCCCAGCTGTCTTTTTTCCTTGTGAACACCCAGTGGTTGGTATATCTTTAGGAGGGTGCAGAGGCCGCTCCAGCAATTAGTAGCCACTGTGAATCAACACAGCATCTGTAGCCATTTAGCATCAGAAAGTTTAGTTTAGCTGTTTTAATCCTACATCAGCTAAAGAAACTACTTCTATCACAGAGACTATCTTCCTCTTCCTCTAACGTTCACCTCACGTTCTATAAGGCCGAGCCCGGTCCCTCTGGGCAGAGAGAGGGCTTTCACACAGTCAGCAGCTTAAAACTGTCTACTCACGATGCCTGCCTCTCACTACATGTCTGATCCATACCCTCTATGTACTGGAAGCACTAATGAAAGCTAAAGGAGCCATTATCATTAGCTACACTGGCAGCTCAGCAGGCAGAAAACCAGCCAGTCAACAAACCAGCATGGCCAGTGCCAAGAGGAAGTAGGAGACATGCAATATGTTTTAACCTTTGCTTTCATTTGGGACAGACTCAGAGAAGTTTCCATCCTGCCTGTTTCCTTGACCTTGTTTCCTTAACACATTTCATCAAGCATGCATTTACGATCCCAGGATATATCCACCATAAATACTGAAAACTGCTCCAAGCACAGCAGCCGTCAAAGTTAATACCAGTGAAAAATCTTGCATCTGTGACTTTATGGTCTAGCTGTGAGGGACGCAGGCGTGTCTCACCTCTCAAAGACATATCTGAGGGCTATAAAGGCGAAGGCCAGAGGCAAGGTGTAGATGAGATCTCTGGGTAAAGGAAAGCGGCCCTTGTCCTCCGTCACCTCAATGTCCCGCCAGCGCATGCCAGGAGGAAGCCAGTACTTCTCCTGCCACAGCCACTCATTCAGCAGCGCCTCCATCCTGCAGGAGAGGGAGCAGAGCAGTGTTTCACATGAGTGTTTGTCGGGTGCAGACCTGACCTGTTTAAACATTGATGCCTTATTCATATTTATGGAAAACAGCAGCTCAGACCCTCGAGATTAGACCTTTGAAGATACTTTGCATTTGCAGTGATCTTAATGGGCTTTCTGTTTTCATGATGTCTTAATTTTTGGACTGTAAAAATAGCGGAAAATGAGGAAAATGGGATTTAAAGGTGGAGTCCTTGATTTTTTTATTGTGCCTGACCAACAGTCCAAAACCCAAAGATTTTAAGTTTGTGGTAACATAGTTACGGTTAAGAAAACATGAGTAAAACAAAGAATGTTTGGCTTTTTTTTATCAAAATAACTGCATGTTAATTTTCTGCCAGCCAACTAACCAATTAATTGTTTCAGCTCTACACCACAAAAATACATTAGTTTGACCAGGAAATAACAGCAGCCTGCATTACATCATAATTTGCCGACATAAACACATACAAATTCATCAGCCAAAAAAAATGGGCCTTTATCCAAACATGAGTCTGTGCATGTATGCCATCAAGACCTAACAACGCAGCCTTGATGCATGAATGGCTTCAAGAAGCTCCTCAGAAACGCGCGCACGCGCGCGCGCGCACACACACACACACACACACACACACACACACACACACGATTATGCCATTATGAAACCACATGTTCAGAGCGGATCGATGTGAGTTTAAAAGCTGCTTCCTACAGCGTCACACGGACTGGCTTATCGATCATAGCGGTTCAGTACGGGAGCCTGTTATGTTAAAGCCTACATGCAGCCTGCTGGCAACACAAACCAAAACACCCTGCGTGTGACACAGAGGCCCAGCCACACACACAACACACACACACCTCCACTACAGATACACACAAATCAGGGTATATCCCAAACACACGCCACATTGGAGATAATAATTATCAGTAATAAGGCATGAATCTGGCAGCCAGAGGAGAGAAGAGCGCCTTTCACATCCTGACACAGCCAAACAGCTACATCCAAACAGCCCCACCAACACACAGCCTCCTTGTTTGATCCTATTCATCTATTCCAAACGCCACAAACACCGTAAAAACGCCATAAGAGAGCAGAAATGCGACATTGCGGTTACCTGTCCGCGCTCCAGTGATGGAGATGGGAAGCGCACAGCAGCAAATGGGAGAGGAGGAGCGTGTTTGACGCAACCTGCTCCTGCTGAGGGCGGGGAGAGAGAGGCGCGCGCTGTCATCATCATCGTCAGCTCATTGGGGTTTTTGTGGCACCCTGCATTAGATGAGCATATGGTGGTGAAACGTAGCAGCCAAAACTTATTTGTTGTGTTACAGCGTGCCAGCATGACGTCATTCTCTGTCAATAGACGCGGTTGTGATCATGTGGGACAACATGTTGTTATTTACAAACAAGTCTCAAAACAGCATTTATTTTTAATATTCACAACTGTTTCAATTATTTCAATACCTGAACATTGTTGTACAAAAACAAAACAAAACAAAACAAAAAGTCCAAGTGTCCTCACACAAGACGACAATTTTGTCCTGATGTCCTCAAACAAGTACTTCCTAATTAACAGCATTGCATTTTAGCTTGTTACTGTTGCTAAATTTGATCAAATTTGTACACCGTATCAAACTACAGACATTATTTAGCACAAATAATTAAGTTTGAACCATAAAAATTTGATCAGGTTTTGTAACTTGTTCACTTCTGTGTTGGGATCAGCTGTAGACTGAGCATAAACATGTCCACAAACAAGGACAACAGGTCTAAGTTAAGCAGAATTAAGTATAACATGCAAGAAACCCAAATATGAGGACGCAGGGTCTCAGGAGGATATTCTGTTTTATTTAATCCTCTGCACAATATATCCTCCTGAGACCTGAGCTTTTGATTGGTATGCATTTCTAATTCCTCCTAGCTATTTGGGATTAGTAGTATCTGATAAGTCTAAAAAACTACACATTGTCTTTTAACTGAAACTGGATTTATTGGGTTTATTTTTAATAGCCACAAGTGTGTCATAAAGTATAAAACTGTTTATTTCAATGTGCGAACATTGTTGTGCTAAAACAAAATTACAAACAATGCAACAATTGTTCAATGTTTTTTAACTCTGTGCCGGAACTGTGCTGTGCACTAAACTGTGATATGTTCATTTTGTAACTCTGTAACTGTGTGAATTTTCCTCGCTCCATACTCCAAGGTAGGAATGTCCTTTTTGTCTGTAGGAACAGTCTGTCACACCAACACATTCTCACTCCGACCTCGTCACATATTGACATTTGGTCATGGACTTTCCATGCCCACATACAATGTGCAAGGTACCCTGGGTGTATTGGTTGTTGACATTCTGAGACTCTGTGTCAAGTTCTGCCTGTTACATGCATTGTCTTCTTTCAAAATACACTTCTGTCTTCACAGGAAATTTAACATTTACATACAGTCTCTTTCAAAATAAATGCACTACATCTGTAAAATTGACTTTTATTTCCCTTCAACAACAAAAGCACGTGGTTAGGTTTAGGAAACAACAATAAGGTTTGGCTTTAGAATCTTACGAGACACAAACACCGCTTTCTCGGGTGAAAGTCAGTGTTTGTGGGACCCATCCACCACCCCTCCTGCCTGCCCCAGTCGGACTATCGCCGCCTTTACTTTCGTCCTTATCTTGCTGCATTTCTCCCTGATACTGTTAAACTACAACAGCAACTAGCCGCGTATCATGCCTAACATCTTTTTCGTTGGTTTCTGATGCCGCAAGTCACTGCCCAAGCGCCAGATTTCGACGACTTCGGAATCAAGTCCCAAGGACAACAGGTCTCAGCTGAGCAGAATGAATTACTTTGGTGCAGCAAAGCCAAAATGTGATGTCCTCGTAAGAGGACGCAGGGTTGCAGGAGGATATTCTGTTTGGTTTGCTAGAGTTTCCATAATTAATATGCACAAACAAGAGTAAACATTTTATTTGCATTTATCAAAACATTTAAACATGTTGATAAGCTGAGGAAACAAGTGGGAGATTTTTCCACCTCACACTACAGGAGATAAACATCATGATACACGATTTTATTTTTGATTTTGTTTTGTTTTTTATGTTCATGTCATTTTATGCATATTTAATTATTAATAATGAGTCCTGGAAATTTCTGGAGAAAATCTCAGCAGCCTGAGTGATGTCCTACTTTCCTCTTGTTCTACTTCCTCAGGTGAGCAGAGGGAAATGAGTGGAGACACTGGAGTGTGAGAATACAAAGGACGCAGTGCTTTCATCAATGATTTCTTTGTAAGACACCAATTTGTCATTCCTCAAAGCATCTCTTCACTGCAGCGCACAACAGAAGTAACAAAACACTTAACAACAGAGAGCAGTGACAGAGATCACACAGTTGTACCAGGGTTTTGCAGAACTAACATACACACAACAGAGAACAACAGAAAGGGAAGTAATTAAAGGGATTATTCTGTTAGAGAGCTTATTCTAGCTGAAGGCACGTTATACACTTACAACAGAGGTTATTACCTGATAGTATTCACCAGAACACCCTCAGGATACTCCACTACACAGTTTAACAAGTAACATTAAAGTTGTTTTTACTTTCTTGTTAAACAAGGCTGAAACTTTTCATCTTCATGTTTTCACTGAACTGGGTGGATTTAGGAAGCTACGCCAGGAGACCTTTCCTGCCTCTGATATCATTCATCAATCAACGGTCATGCTGAGAAAGCTGATAAGATTCAGAGCCGTGTTCACATGACACTGGTTTTCATACCAGTCATACTCCAACAGAGAGGAGAAAATCCCAGCAGTTGTTTATGTAGGTAAGACATACACCCTCCCATTTTTCTTTGTGTGGCATAAAGAAGAAAGAGATATACTTTTAAATTCAATTTTTTCACTCTGTTGTCATATACACACAGGCCCGAAACACACACGCAAAAACAGGACCTATACATGCAATAAAAAGAGAGAGGCTGCCCATGGACAGGCACCCCAAGCAATTTGGGGGTTCGGTGCCTTGCTCAGAAGGTGAACTGGCACCTCTCAAGCTACCAGTCCACACTCCATCTTTGGTCAGGACGGGGACGTGAGCTTGCGACCCCCCTAAGCCCCTATGGCTGAGCTACTGCTGCCCCAAAAAACCTTAAGCTATGGTAAATGGTAAATGGACTGCAATTACATCTTTCTAGTCATCTGACCCATCAAAGTGCTTTTTACACTACGAGTCACATTCACTCATATAGCGAGGACCGAGGCTTCCATACAAGGTACCACCTGCCTCTCTGTTTTTTTAACACACTCACACACCAATGGAACAGCCATCGGGTGCATTTTGGGGTTCAGTATCTTACTCAAGGCTACTTCGACATGATGGTCTACCTCCTGAGCCACAGCCACCCCCGATATGAATGCTGTGGTAAAGTCTGGAGGCAGATAGTGAGGGAAGTTAATGCAGTATTTAATTAACAGTCATCTATTGGACATCAGCATCCAAATTTGTCACATTTTACTTTGGAAATTGCCAGAATTATTCTTCTCACACAGAGAGATTAAAGGTATAGTTGGTAACTTTTACAAAAAAATAAATCTATTAAGGTAAACTATCAGGACATCCTCTAAAGCTTTAGCTTTGGAATAGAGTTGTGAAGATGTCACATCAGACTCACTAGAAAGATATTTAATTGGGCGACCTCTCACTGTCATCTTAGGGCTAACCAGTTGAAATCATTATTTTATTCAAACAACTTGTCATTTATTTTTCAGAACAGGTTACTTTGTGATATGCAGGAGATTAGGAGTGAAATGTTTCGCATGTTCAGAGAAAATGGTCCGTTGACATATGGTATAAACCAAAACTACGAACTCATTGTCTCATAATGAATAGCTACAGTGTGGAACCTTATGTGAAGTATAATCTTAAGAAAAGACAAAGATCCCTGTCAGTAATGTTGCCATTAGCCATAAAGACTGGAAGGTTGAACGCCACCCCAGAGGAAGACAGAATTTGTTTGTTTTGTCTAATTTAGGTAAGATGACTTCTATCTACGTTGATTTCTTCTGTCTGGATGATCGTGAAAAAATTTGAGTTTTACATGTACTTTTGATTGTCACTGCAACATCACTGTAATGGTGATTTGTAACCCCATGAGGGTTGAGCACATGTAAGTGCACACAAATAAAAATCAATCAATCAGTCATTACATGAGACAGATAGTCTGTAAAAGAAAAATCATGTCCCCCTTTCTCTTCTTATTCTTTCTAATGACTTTTGCCAGAATCTACTGCGGCACATCAAAAACAACCAATCAGATGCAGAGGAGTCTCCATCACAGCTATCAGTCTGTCAATCATTTATTGTGAAATGCAGTTAAACTAGGCAGCACTGATCAAATATGAATCAAGATTCTGTTACTGCATTGATTATTTCTCACCTCAGATATTTTCAGGAACATATTTTAGTGCACTGTTTAGCTGTAAAATGAGAAAGTGTGGTCTGGACAGTGGGCAGTGCTTTGTTTTGGAATGGCTGTTGTCAACATGGTGGTAACAATATTCTCATTTTACAGGTAAACAGTACACTAAAATATGTTTCTGAAAACGTCTGAGATGGGAAATAGCTAACACATTCACAGACTCTTTTTTCATATTTGAGCAGTGCTGATTACTGAGAGCTGCCTTAGAGATTCTTCAGCTCTGATTGGTTGTTTTCCTTCAGCTGTGGTAGACTCTAGCAAATGCCATTAGAAGCACTATGACAAGGAAGGGAGGGGTATGACTAAATATGACTAAAAGCTATTTTTATATAAGGTACCAACTGCAGCGTTAAGCTTACACAGGTATAGTGCTGGCTTGCTGGTGTTATAATACTTCAAACCACTCACCACAGGGTGTAGGTGTAGTTATAAATAAGTTATTGCTCTATCTCACATAATCTTTAACCTCTTTAAGTAACTCAGTCTGGAAAGTAGGAGGTGTTATTCCAGGTATTTCCCTCTACAATGACTGGCAGTTTCATCTCTGTCCAATTTGTTATTCTATATGGAGCCTAGAGGGCGAAGCCTGGAGGTATATTAAATGCACGATATTCACTGTAACCCCAGATCTGTGAGTACCGGCTCATTCCTGTCACCACCACTTCCTGAGCTGTTCACATGGTGGATGCCAGGCAGTAAATTTAAAGTTCACTGTA